CTCATTGCAATCATCAATGAAGAATCCTAAGCATTTCACTTATTGATGACCATAGCTGTATTAGGACTTGGCATGCAGAGTGCACCATATATGAAATTGGTTTACTATAGCTGGAGTAGGACTTGCATACCGAGTGCACCATAGATGAAATGGTTTACTATGTTATTTTGTCATAACTATTGCCCTGGGTTTGATTTTTGACATGGTTGTGTCATTAGCTGGTAAAGATCTTGCTATACCATGTTAGCTTTGACATAATGTTGTTTGCGATGTGACATTACCCAATTTATCAGCTTCTCCATCCTTATATTATTCTTCCAACTGATTTTTGAAGGTTGACGGGGACTGAATTTTCCTGGTAATAGCTGCCTTTTGAAAAGACTTGCACTATTTGGAATTGGAAATCTTATTCATATTCAACTCTGCTGGTTGTCCTGAAATTCTAAATGAATTGGACTAATGATGCTCTAATCTCTGAAGAAATCTAACATTGTGGCAAATATTGTCCAAGTCTTTTCTGGAGAAGCTTTACTATTATATCTTAGGACTTGGTTCCTCTCCAGTGGATTCTCTCTCCATTTCCTACAGTTTACATTTGGATGCATAACAGGTGTCTTCATTTATTAACAAGGGTTAGGATTAGTCAAATTTGAAATGATCATTGTCCCTTCCTAGTAATTGAAGACATGTGTCATACATTTATATGTGCATTGTGGAAATGGAGAGAGAATCCTCTGGAGAGGAGCCAAATTCTTATTTGTTACTCCTAGATGAGCATGATAAAACACTATTACTATACCACAACATACAAAGCTACATATCATTTTATTAAGAAAGACAAATGACACAAACTCCACTGCTGTCACAACTAAGATTTGTTATCTGATGAAGGTTCTTGTACACATGTTCTATAGCTCAGGTATTTGCTATTTCTAAATCACTATTTATGATGCTTTGAAGTGAAGAAAAGAAGGAAGATAGTTTTAAAAATTACAAAAACAAGACCGTAAAGGGGAACATGTCATTAAGTTGAAAAGCAAAAGCGAAAGAAAAGCATGCAGAACTGGAGGAGGGAAGTCGTTTTTGTTTGCTTTTTTATATATGATGTTTTTTAACTTTTTCTAATATCCATAGATTGGTGAATAAGTTGATCACTTGGGACCATATATAATGTTGTCTGGATGTTGCTTGTAGTAGTTGGTCATAACTCAAGAAGGTTTGGAGGTAATGAACCCATCAAACATATATTAGGTTTACGTTTGCACCATAATTTGCTATGACCGTTTCACTTGACTATGTTTGAGGCTAATACATAGAACTGATCTTTTTAACGTTGTTTTTTTTCCCCGGTTTTTAGTACTTTTCAGTAGGACATCAAGAACAGAGCAGTTTTTAAAGTCTTATTGTGTTTGACATTTCTTTTTCTTTTCTTTCTAGGTTTCATTGTCAGTGGATTCTATAAATTCGTACATTGGTTGGGACTTCTCATTGGTTCAAGGTCGAATGAATATGGTATTAACTTGGTATCTTGTCATGGATTTGTTTCTTGATAAATTTGTTCTAGTCCTTTGTGTATTCGGACAATATGCATTTCCACAAGCTCATTGGTTGATCTTACACAAGTTTTCCTATTCCAGCAGCCATCTATGCTAGAGCAATAGCAGGGGGTTTGGTGTTAGTCTTTTATGTCATTTTTGATTCATTAATACCCTCTCTAAATAACTTCCACCATTTTTTCTTTTCTCCTTATCCTTTTGATAAAGTTTTGCACTGGGTATATCTTTCCCACTAGTACTAATTATACACATCCGTAGGTGTTTCATCTGTATCCAATCTCCTATGATTTTGCTTTGTCTGAGAAATCTACCATAAGATACTTGCTGCCCTTCTGGACTATTTGGACAAATTTATTGTCAAGAACTGGGGTAGTGAGGAAAGCATAAAAATCTGTACCAGTTCTGCTATATTGACTTAGAACATGTTTGTTTGAGCTTCTAATGCATTGGTATTGCTGTAGTATGGACATGCTGCAATTATCAATGGAAAGAGAATTTATGTTGACTGCCTATAGAGAACACTTGTGGCATTTAGAAATGGCATTGGCGTCTTGAGGAGGAGTTAGAAGAGTATAATGAATATTTCTAAACATGAAATGATCACACAAGCCTTTGCCCTTATTACTCAATGAGCTTGATCTATTTTGTTACAGGACATTGGGTTCAGTGTAGAATACACAGATGCGGCTGGACAAAAAACTGTGAGTTATATATGCCTGTCAACAACCTCCATACCCCCCACCCCTAAAAAAAAAAAAAAGCCGGTGCGACCCATTCTTCCATGAGCCTTTGCCCACCACTATCCCTTCCTAAAATTGGTTAAAGAGTTTTCCTATTAGAATGCAATTTGCCTTGTATTCACTAATATGAATTTGCTTCCATCTTTCATTTTTTCTTCTTGATATTTTGCTTATGCCACAGCTTATCTTGCCCTATGGCCGATATGAATCTGACCAAGTAAGCTCGCCTTTTTCTGCCAAGTTACTGCATATAACATGCAATGTTACTGTTTACTTGCTGAGTCAGAGAGTTTATCGCAGGGTAACTTCTGCACATGCATGGCTGGGAACTACAGGCTTGTCTGGGATAATTCGTTCTCAGCATTTTTCGGGAAGGTATGTAGATGAATTTTTACCAAGCTGACTTCATCTCCTGTTGTGATGGGAGAATGTGATGTTTGTTGTGCCTGCATTTGATTGACTGATCACTAAGATTCTTTTCCTGTTACCACGGTAAGTTCTGCCCCTGGTGCATTTTCCTAACCCCCGGGGGCTGGCCTCCACTTTCCCATGCGGGGAAAGGAAAAAATCTATGGTTCTAATTTCCGTTTAAGTTGTTGAGTTTGAATGGCCTGTTTTTATGCTTTGATAAACAGTGATTTATTCCCTCTTAAATGGCTTTTCATCTGAAACAGGTTCTGCGTTACAAAGTTGACGTGTATTCCTCCAGTTGTGGAGCCGGTTAGCAGCTGATCAAATGGAAGAATGAGAACGATTCTATATGTTGATTGATCAAAATATATTTGTCAAGTTTGTTCGTATTAATTTTTCACTCAACAGGCCGTCTGACCTCCCTCCTCACCTTGAACAAAGCAGAATGGAAGAAATTTAAATACTCTGGAGTTTGAAAAACTTTGCAAACATAATTAATTCTTTAGAGTTAAACGAGGAAGTTTGGGACGTGGGTCTCTCTCTCATTCTGCGTATTACATATGAAACCTCTCACAAGTCTAGATCAAGGTCTTTAGCTTGTATCAAACGAGTAGATGAAAAATAACCCAATATTATATGGCTTAATTGCACTAAACCTCCTTAAAATTTTGTGTGAGTATCACTGTGCCCCCTCAACTTTTTGAACCACTTTACTTCTTGTACACATTTCTTGACTAAAATGCCCTGTAGTTGAAGACTTTTATAGTTTATTTTCATAATTCTGTTTTTGCTTCTTTCTTATTCTTTCAATTCTTTTTTTTTGTTTTTCAATTTGGCTTCACCCTCTTTCTTTACCATAATTTTAGACATCGCGAGAGTTTGCTTGGTATCTTTTCCTCGCTCTGTCTCTGTCTCACTGGAAAGTAATTACACTAATACTAGGAAAAAGTTGAGATGTAGCAAAATGCCCATTTCATGCTTCCATGGTTGATTTAAACATAGTTGAGTATATTTAAATAACAAAATAGATGCAACGGGAAAACAAATTCCACATACTTTAAAGGTGAAAAATATGGAAAAATTGACTAAATGTTTTTACCAAAAAAAAAAAAGCAAAAATCAACCAAACATATATGCATGTCAAAAGGTTGGATTTTTGTGTAAAGCCAACATATATTTTTATGAGTTTGGCTAATTTTACCAAATCCAATCTAAATCTAACATTTTTATTTTATTAGCTAACTTATAGTGGTCAATATGTTTCACAATACAAAAGCAATGAATATTAAGTTTGAAAATAATTTGGTAATAACGATAAATAAGAATTGAAGATGAAAAATGATAAAAAAGGGAATGTATATTGTGCCACAAGCACAACATTAGGAAACGATTGGGTATCTCACAAAATGATTGGTTTTTTTTCGTAGTTTTTTGAAATGCTTTCTTGAAATTATTAAATGTTAGTTATTACTGGGTGATTTGTACATTTCGTAAACATTTGGGGTAAGCTGATGTTGATCTCAACTTATAGGGGGTAATCTATAATTAAGCCATTGCTTTATTAGAAATTTAAATTGTTTTGATAGCTACCCATTGTTATTGGCAACAAAAAAAAACGACTAATTCACAAAGTTTTATTTTAACAAAGATTCTCTTACAAATTGATTTTCAAAACGTAGAACTAATTTCTATAAAAATTTTTGGATATATTATTACTTGTACACAGTATGTATATATATAAGGCATGACCTTTATCATCAGCATAAAATGGTAGAATAGTCTCATGATTAACCTCCTATCTTTTACTTTCTTTATTTTTTTCACGTTTATCCACATTTTTTTTTGTATTTATCCACTGGTTCTTACGCTTTCAAAAATGTATAACAAAATATCACTCATGATCCCTTACTATTCTTTCTTCCTTTTTCTTGGGTTGTTCTTTAAATCACCTCAACTCATATAATTTTTTCACTTTAATACTTCAATTTGAAAGATTGTTATTAATTGCGCACAATAGGTGCCTTAATAACTAGTAGCGACTTAATTAGTAGCAAGTATTATATAGAGACGTCCAACAAATTTTTAGGTTTTAGGCTTGTGACTATCACTTACAATGTCGCATATATAATTAGGCAATTTTTTCAAAAAGCTATTAAATAAAACAATTACATGTCTCTGATTGTATTTTTTTTAAGAATTGTTTTGAATAATTTCTCTTTTTGATTTTTGACCTTTCATACATTACATCTTAAATGATACAGTGTATTTATTCTATGAAAGCTTCCCAAAAGTACCAATCCAAATTCCAAACGGCTTGGAGGAATATCTTTGGAGACTATAGTCACTGTTAACAGTGGAGTACACAGACAGGAGCAGAAAAGGGTAGGAAGGGAGTCGGAGAGGCTGCAATAATTTGGGGAAAAAAAAGATGGAAAAAATTGCACCGTTGCGGGTCTGGTAGGAAGATTTTCAGCCAACTTCTTCGCTTCTGTCGTCATTTCGTAGATTTGGTATATTGGTATAACTTATCCCAAGATGTGAATAATTACAAGCCAAAGCAGAATAAATTTCAAAATTAATTACAAGCCAAAGCAGAATAAATTTCAAAATTAATTTAAAAAGATAATTTATACTTAATAAAGTGGAGAAGATCGGCGTGGGAAGAGAACAAAGTGGGAGAATCAGGGGACGGGCCAATGAAGGGCGCGGTTGGCGGTGGAGGTGGTGGCTCCTCTTATACTCTTCCGGGGAAGAGGCGATGGAAAGGTCTGGTAATTGGGGTGTTGGGCCTCGTATTGCTTTCGATGCTGGTTCCCCTGGTCTTCTTGCTCGGCCTTCACAATAGTTTCCAATCTCATTCTGGTAATTTTCCTCCCCGTCTTATCCTACTCCTCCTTGTCCAATGGTGTATGCTTTTCTTTTTTCTGCTTTGTGTATATAACAAATTGATTAATCTTCGAAGATGATGGGAGCATTTGATAACGGGGTTTACGAGCGTTTCCGTTTTAGATCTACTAGATTCATACCGTGATCTGCGATTGAGAGAACTTATACTTTCCAAAACTGGGACTGTATTGGGGTTTCTCCCTTTTTGTCCAAATGCCTCCCATTAGCAATGCATTTCTTGTACTCTGCATTATTAGTGGATCGGAAGAGTAGCTTCCGCTCTAATCCACAGAATGTAGTCCTCAATCTGTTTCTTTTCCTCACGAAATTGTTTTTTCCTAAAATTTTTTCGGATCTTTTGATTTGCATCATCCCATTATTTTTTCTACGCTTAGGTACCATTTTAAGGATCTCATGTATGTCGTGGCATGACATCATCGTTCCCCCAATGGGGACAGATCGGTGCTAAATATATCTTACAGCTTTGGAGGCTATACTAGAAGTGTGTGTCTGCACGCGTGCTTGTTTCTCCTTCTTTTTTCATTTTGGTTTAGATATGGTTGCATGTGGTTGTGTGTTTAGATAGATTCTCCTTTTACAATAATTAATTGTTGGTTTTTGCAGGGTTCGACTCTGGACAACAGATTTCTGGCACTGTAAGAATATGACTTTGTGTTACTTTAATTTACTTTCATCGAAGATGCTTCAGATTACCTCCAGTAGATACTAATGGTCATTTTTCATTTTCAATGCTTCTTGACGGGAATTAGAATGATATTACAATTTTTGGTCAAACTAGTGATGCCGACACCAAAAACAACTCAACGGTAATCATTATTTCATTTCAGCAATATGGCTAGTCATGCCTGAATCACCATCATTTTGGAAGTATAAACTTTTATTCTTTGAATTTTACTGTTCCAAAGAATTTGCACAAAGACACATTCTGAGGAACAGAGAGAGTACTTTCTGATTTATCCTTTTCTTTGATTTTTCAGGATGAGCAATCAAGACACGTTGATGACCTTATAAGAAGATTAGAACCTACTCGTCCTAAGGTTCATTGCATACTGCTTTGATGGTTAACACTCAACTTCTTGCACTATTTGTGCTCATTGCTAGTTCTGTTAATGTTTTTCTTGCGCTCTTGTTATTTGTTCTCTTGGATATGAGTGGTGGTTCGGCGTGTAATACTGAATACTAACTTCTTTGGTGGTCAAAACTTTTCTCCAAATTTGAACTTTCTACTGGTCAGGTTGGATGTTTGTGTAGAAAATGTTTTATGTTGACGTCATGAAACTTACTTTGACTAAACGAAGAAAACAAAGGAAGATAAGAAGCCAACTGAGAGAAACAAAATAATTAAGAAGAGATATCGTAGCCATTTGAAATCTATTGTGGTCAATGTCCTGTTATGACATGCAAGCATATTACCTCATAGGAGTTTACATATTTCACTATTATGAACTTATAATGACCCAAGGAAGCTGTAAACCAATGAGATGACTTGGTTTTTTAAAAAATTAAGCTGAAGAAAATCATACCATATTTCTCGGTTCAGACGCCAAAGAATTTTCTTTTGTGCTGAACCTTGTATTCTGATCACTTTGTTTTAATGCAGTGCAGATGCCATCTTATAAATACTGTTATCAGTATAGTTTTCAAAATATAGCAAAAGCTGATAGTTTTCAAAATTTTGTGCTAATCATGGAATCTTGACATGTTTGTGTTGATCTTCAAGATCTTGGATGGAGTATAGTTGTTGTATAGAATTCAATAAAGCTTCTGTAAAAGTATGTTTGGGACTTACTGCCAAATGTAAAACATTTTAGAGAAGAATAAGTTTGTAATGGATATCATAATAAGTCGATAGTTCGTTCGTAGTGCCTGCCTTAAAATTATGTTGTGAGAATGGGATGATATCTGAGTCTCGCAGTAGATGATGGTGGAGTCGTCGATTGTAATGATAACTATTGGTGTGAAAGCAGTCATTGGAGGCAGTGTTTCCTTGACACAGTATAAAGAACATCATTGACTGTATTCATGATATGTTGGAGTATTGCATGGTAAACCTGTAGAAGAGAGCTTTAAGAATTGGAATTCAACATATTTATCTTGAATAAAGAAAAAAGAAAGGGAATACATACCATGGAGAGGTGGTGGTGATGCCTTAGTAAGCTAAACTGCCAACGTGTAAACAGCATAGATCTCTTTGGATTTTAACAAATTCAAATATTTAGACAACACATCATGGGTAGAAAGAAGTCCTGATTATCGTGCCTGTCATAACCTATTGAGACTTTTGCATAAGTGCATCCATCTCTTTATGTTGGACAATGAAATTGAAAAGTCAGGTTTATGTGCCAGATTAGATATGGAGCCTATAAGAGATCACGGAAAAGCAAGTGCGATTGTCAAGACTTTATCCCACTTCGGAGGAGTCCCATTAAACATCTAGGTTTATGATTGATGTATGCTTTGTTTGAGGATGGAAACACAATCATTTAGTATGTGAATTAATTTTCTTTGTTTTATTGGCCATTTTTTTTGTTGATTATGGTATACATATGGGTCAAGATATGCTTTATAATTGCTTGAAATTTTTGGGGCAATTCTGAATATGTGCTTTATAAAGCTTATCTTTTTTGACAAGGTCTTGAAATCCAAAGAAGGAAATAGGGTTAGAGCTGATAATGTGCATCTTTCTTACAATCTTGTGATCTCAGTGGCAGAACATAATGAGAATGGACTGCCACTTAGGGAATTTCTTGTGTTTGTTGGACAGGTTGATAAGGAGGGTCATTGATCACCTTATGTGGACTTGATTGCTCAAAAAAATTCGATTTCCTTGCCAACTAATTTGAATTGGAGAAAGCCTCTTATTAGGCAGTTCAATTTATTGACTTCACATTTCAATTTTTTTTGGTTCCTCGTTGGAGTTCTGATTTTGTCATTGGAGTATCCAAGGCGAAGGCTATCACAGATCGATCCCTAACCAATCTGAATGTCTCCTTAAAAGGATAGGAGAAGCCAAGGTGGAAATTTTTATGCGCAAATCAGATGAAGAGCCCATATCTTACAGCTTCATTGTTGAGTAATTATTTGAATCTCTGGTTGAATGTAATATATTTCAGAGTGAATGAGGTCAAATTTTGAGATGGAGATGGTTGAAATAGGAAGAGAAAATTTAAAGGTGATGCTGCAGACATGCTTGATGCCGGGCTGCATATCAGGAAAACATCTTTAGTAAGTCTTAAAGAAAGGTGGTTCCCAGCAACAAGTCTGAGACATATTCCTCCCACCATCCCCAAGAAACTTAGGACAAATTGGAGTTGTTAGTTTTACAGATATTTTAAAGAAGATTGAAGTTGCATTTAAAGTGGAAGCACCTTTTGTGATTCTCTTGGGAGTACCTCGGCCAATTGAAAGTGATAGAATTTGAAATTATCAATTTTCTATGTTCTCTTGCAGCTTAGGTTCTTGCCTTTTTTTTACCACATATACCACATTCCCTCATGACTGATGTGTGGATGTAGAAGTAGTCATCATTCTTTCTTTCTTTTTTTTTTTTTTTTTTTTAAATTCAGATATTTGGCTGGCAAATATCTTTGTCGGAATAGTAAATGAAAACGGGAGGTGTGCCATCTAGAGCCATTGCCTAATGCTCTGACTGATATCATTTCCTCATTTCATTGCGTATATCGTAATTCTGTAGTTTGTGAATTACCATAGTTCTTGTTTCCTCATTGAACTCAGTTTGTATCTGCTCAGGATTTCAGAAGGAACTCTGTTGAGGAAGCTAAGAACAGATCAAATGGTATAATACCAATAAAAGTCTCTCTCTCTCTCTCTCTCTCTGTGTCTTGTGTGTCTGTCTATCACTCATATTTCAATGACTGTTGATTTAACTATTTTCTTAATGTGTTGGTCTTTTGGTATTGCATCTCAGTTGGTTTACTTACTATATTCCCCTTCTCTGAAAATATTGCAGCTCTTATTTTGCTACCTGATATGCCAAAACCAGGCCTTAAAGCAAATGTATGCCTTTGATCAGAGCTGGATGAGTTTGGCAAACCATTCAAGGTGTTTTATTCCACTGGTAGTCACCATTTAATTAGTTCTGACTTGGTTTTGCAGAAAAATATATCCACAAGTAAAGTCGAGATGGCTGACAGCATGAAAGGCAGCAGTGAGAGCAAAAACATATGTGAGTTAAGATTTGGGAGCTACTGCTTATGGCGTCAAGAGCATAGGGAACGAATGAAAGATCATACAGTGAAGAAGATGAAGGACCTGCTTTATGTAGCTCGGGCATACTATCCGAGCATTGCTAAGCTTTCAGTACTTGACAAGTTGTCACATGAACTAAAGCAAAATATTCAGGATTTTGAGCGGGTTCTCAGTGAGACTACAGCTGATAAAGATCTCCCTCCACAGTATGGCTATTTCCCTTGTTAAATCTGTGAATAACATGTTGAAAGGATCCTCATCTTAAATTAATGGTTGACAACTGAAAACAAATTTAACATTCCCCTTGTATGCTTGAATCCTGAAGGCACGGTTAAAAAAAGTTTCTGGTTTCTCCAGCAGCAACTTCAGTCTTTTGCTTCATGTCATCTATTAGTACTTGACTTGTCAATGCAATTGAGGAAATTCTTCTAGTAATGTTTCATTAAAATGTCATATCTTTTGATAGTATTACAGTTTATTGAATTTTTGTAGTAATTGAATATCAGATTGAACTTGCTGAATGTCTTTTTATCAGGATTGAAAAGAAGCTGGATAAGATGGAAAGTACAGTAGCCAGAGCCAAATCTCACCCTGTGGACTGTAATAATGTTGATAAAAAATTTCGACAGTTAGTTGATTTAACAGAGGATGAAGCAAACTTCCACATGAAGCAAAGTGCTTTCCTATACCAACTTACAGTTCAGACCATGCCTAAGAGTCTTCACTGTCTGTCATTACGGTTAACTGTGGAGTATTTTAGATCTCCTCCACCTGATATGGAACTTCTGCTTGCTGACAAGTTTCAAAACCCAGATCTGCATCACTTTGTTATATTCTCTAATAATATACTAGCATCATCAGCTGTAATTAACTCAACTGTAATGAATTCAAAAGTATGCTTCTGATTCTTATATCTCTTCTTTTATTATTTTGATTGAATGTTTCTCAACAGATTTTAAAAAGGTTAGTTTGTCTCACTAAATTTCTACTGCTTTCAGGAAACCTCGAGTCAAGTTTTTCATGTGCTGACAGATCGACAGAATTACTTTGCTATGAAATTATGGTTCTTCCAAAATAAGTACAAGGACGCCACAGTCCGAGTTTTGGATATTGAAGGTCTGAAGTTGGATGAGCATGAGAAGTTGTCTCAAGTCCATCAATTGCTGCCTGAAGAATTTCGTGTTTCGTTTCGTTCTGTTGACAAATTGTCAAGAGTTTGGGTTCAAACTGAATATTTTTCTCTTTTTTCACAGTCCCACTATCTTCTTCCTGATATATTCCCCACACTGAGGAAAGTTATGATTTTGGATGATGATATTATTGTCCAAAAAGATTTGTCAGCACTTTGGAGCCTTGACATGGGTGAGAAAGTGATTGGTGCTGTGATGGTTTGCACAGTGAGATTGGTGCAGCTGCAGAGATTATTTGGGTGAGAATAATTTTGATGAACAATCTTGTGCCTGGATGTCTGGATTGAATATCGTTGATTTAGGCAGATGGAGGAAGCTCGATCTTACTAAAAGTTTTGAAAGATTAGTTCTTAAGGTGAGCTGAAATTTTTTCATGTTGATTTCCTGTAGTCTGCTTTCATTAGGTACGTATGTCAAGTAATATGGTTTTGATTATTCTGTGGTGGGAAGATATGCTAAAATGTGAAAAGTATGCCAATTATATTTTGGTTAGATTATAATATACCTCCGGTTTAGTAGACCTACCTATGAGCATTTTATGGTTTGATAGCTACATTTTGCCCCCTTAAAGTTGGGACCATCAAGTAACACAGAGAAATAGGTAATAAAACTGGATTTTTTTTGGAAGTGGCTAAATTCATCCATATGAAGGCTTCTTGTCCCTTTTCTTTATCTGTGAAGCTACCATATAAGAATTGTATTGAGAGCATGTGGTCTTCGCAGGCTAGTCTTGCGCTCAGGCTAGTCTGGGGCTCTTTCTGGTGGTGTGTTGTGACAATTTGTTTAGTTTAATTGTCTTCCAGATCTGGTGATTTGAGACCCCTCCCCAGGAAGAGGAGGGGGGGGGAAGAGTGTTGTTGGATGATTTTTTAGTGGAGAGAAGGGTGGTGTGAACAGTTGGAGTGGAATATGCTGTGATGCTACCTAATAAAGGGGTTGGTTATTATATTTGGAAAAGATGGGGTTTGGTGGGGATGGTGGTGTTGAACCAAAAAATAGGTATTCGAATGGGTTATATATAGTCCTGAAAAGTTTGGATATTTAACTGAGATGGTTGAAGAAGGGTATGTGAAGAGTGGAGGGGCCTTTTGCTGTCGCTAAGGATTTGGCATTGGGGATGATGCTGGGGTTTGGCGAATGTTGTGGGGAAGAGAGAACATCTTTTTGCAAGAAGACACAAAATAAATAGATAGAGGGGAAGAAGTTGCTTTATGGGGTAGCTTGGGGATTTGCCTCTGGTCGACGATAGCAGAATGAAATAATTGTTCCATGATAGATGTTGAGAAAGTTAATAATTTTCAATGATAAAAGTGGGAGTGGATCAACAATGGTGTGTGGAATTTGTGATTTGGTGGTTTAAAAATTTGATTTCAGGTTAAAACAATGCTTAATGGTTGCTCTTTAGGAGTACAAGTTGGTTAAAGATAGTTTTGAAATCGTAAAGTTTTCATGTGTAGGTAAGATGAACCAGTGGGAGGAGAGATTCAATAGTTGCCTGACAATTTTGGTTGCGTTTGGCTGGCACAGTATTAATCTTAAGCTGACATTTTGGCCTTTGTAGTTTGTCCTTTTGGGTGGTAGTTTACTTTGAAATTAACAGTAACATGCTGAACTTTTTCGTTGACCTACTTTACAGTCCGTTGCTTAAAATTGGCTTTCCCTTGGATGTATTTGGATCATTGACCAGATTCAGATTTGATTAGTTATGTAAGTTTTAGAAGTCCTTGGCTAATTGATGTGAGATCAGTATTCTTTCTAAAACAGTTGTCTTCTTTCGAATTTTGGACTGGATAATGAACAAGAAGTTTTCAGAGGATAAGCTTCCTAGGACGTAAGTAAGCACAGTTTCCTAAGCTTGAAGCAGGCGGTTAAGGCTTTTCAAGATTATATACGATAATGTATACGCATGGTACAAAGCTTAGGGGTAAAATTGAATTTTGTAAATTATCTCTCTCATGGAAGGTTAGAAACAACAGGTAATACGCCTTAGAATTGTATAAAGAGAATAGCTCCATGACTTCCGTTTAGAAACAGGCGCTCAGAAGGTATTTTGATTCCTCAATGTAATTAGGGTTGCAGTTTTACTACTATTTATTTCCATAAGACATGCCTACCGCCCTATACTTACTGATCTTCTGGCTTTTGTTCTTAATATGAAT